TGAAAAATGACTTATTTAAATATCTTGATGAAAACACGATCATTTTTAAAAACGAATTTAATTATTTTTAAAAAAACAATTGATCAAAGGAATTTTTTAGAAAAGAACTTTTTAATTCAATCGTTTATTTAACTATTAATTAAATAAATGGTGATATGAGAAATTCTATCGAGATCGATAATCGACTAGATAACATCTATATCTTCTACTAATTCATTTGTTTACGTATTATGACAACTTGTTCAATAATTCATAGACTTTAACAAAACTGCTGGTGTAATCTCTTCCAGAATAAAAAATGTCAAACATAATGGATCTTTTCTTACTAATTCAATCAAAATCGTATTGTTCCACTTTTTTTTTTACAATACCTTTGTTTCTAATCATCTAGCTCATTCTTGACAATAACAGTTTATCTGTCATGATCTGTGATGGTCTTTGGAATTTATCTAACACGGTCTGTGATGAGACCGGAGTTTATCTGGCACGGTCTATGGAGGGAGGAATGAATAAAAAATTTCTATTCTAAACACTGCAACACTTCTTTTAAACCTTCTATCAGAAAATAGTTCGAGACTCCAGACTATCCTATGAACTATTTTATTAATAAAGAGAAGATAAACGTAAATAACAATGTTGAATTAGGAATTAGTTAAGATCGAATTATGATCATAAAATAAATTTATTCTTAGAATTAAATCAATATTCTATATTTATAGTGAAACTGAATATAGAGACAGATCTTTTAATATTGATATTGTCTATTTAGAAATATTTCAAGTATATTTTCTTTTTTTATTTTCATTATCTTAAATCAATAGAGAATTATCCAAGGGGGAAAGTGCTGGCACCCAGCACCCTGGCACCTCAGCACCTGCTCAGCACCTCGGCACCTGCTCAGCACCTCAGCACCTGCTCTGCACCTCAGCACCTACTCAGCACCTTTTCAACACCTCAACACCTACGCAGCACCTACCCAGCACTTGTGAGTGCTGTGAAGCTTAGAAAGTTAGAACATAAATATTAATTGAGAAGTTGCTTAGAAATAGGGTAACACTATTTAGATTCGGTTTTTTTGCTACAGAAAAGTACTGATTTATGATTGACAACACCATAGCACTTTTCCAGTACCATTTCAACACTCTTTAATCCTTAAACTATATTCAGTAATGTGCAAATGATTCACAAAAGGTCTATTTATTTTTAATGATATCGAAGAAACTTTGCTTCTCTGACCACCACTATATGAAAATATTAAAATTTCCTAAAGCAAATGTCAAAAATATTCTATAACATAAAAAATTGTATGAAGAACAACATGGAAAACTGTATGAAAAATCACATCATGAAAAGCTACATGAAAAACAATAGCGTGAAAAACTCTATGAAAAAGAGTGACATGAAAAGCTACATGAGGAAAATATGGAAAACAAAATGAGAAAAACAATTTCAAACAAAATTTATTTCATTTTATTTCTTATTTCCGAACGCGAATTAAACGATCATTTGATAGTAGTTGTTTATCTGTTGTAAGCAACCAGCAAGCTGTTTGCTTGTGTATAAATTTATATGATGAACCAATACGTATACGAAAATATTTCTTTGATTGTTGTGGATTGATTTTGTCGTATATACGACAACCATTGAATTTTTTTTGTGCTGTATGAGGAACATCAATTGCTATTACATTTTCTTCCTCTTCCTCTTCATCATCAGTATTATTTGGTGAGAATTGATCTTCATTATTCAATACATCTGAAATACTATTCGCACTATATAAATCCTCTTCATCAGAATCTTCATCCGAACTATTATTATCAATTGTATCATCAATAATTTTTGATGATGATCTATTTAAAATTGTTCTTGTAAATGTACTTAAACTTGATAAAGTATAGATATTTTTTGTTTTCAAAAATTCAGTCATATTAACCATTGAAACATACTTTTTAGCTTCTTCAAATGCATTTTTGATAATAATTTCAATATCAATCTCTGTTAAATTCAATACATTAATATGATCTATTGAATAATTATATGTTTCTTTATGATTTTTATGATGTTGTGGAAAATAAAACTGATAATCTCCTATTTGTCCACCACGATTTTTAATTGAGTTGATAATCGATATTTTTTCGCATCTCTTTAAAAATGATTTTACACTAAAATTTGTATTTGAAGAAAATGAACCTGACAATGACCTAGCGATCCTGAAAGTATTTTCACATATCTGTGAATTGAAAGCAAATGTATTAAGTGCATCAACAGGTAATTTGTTTTTGATAACTAAAAGTATTATAAAAAGTAATGTATGAGCATTTATTTCAATGCACCAAAAAGTTGGCTTGGTGATAAAAGTATTTTTTTTCAAATCTGATAGAGTTTCTGAATTATTATTATCATTTTCTAATTCTAAATATTGTATCCATGAAAACCAAAATCTACACGTAAAAACGACAGTCCATATGTGAAATAATCGTTCTTCGATTGTTGTTGATCTTTCAATAAATCCAGCAATTATTGACCGTAGTAAAGATAAGTATACATATGTTCCTGTAGCCTTTTTATTTTTCTCTAGTAAATTTAACACATCTTTAGAAGATATTCTTAAGCATGATGCAAAATTCTGACGATCTTTGGGATCGACGTCACATTTAATTAAATTGTGCTCTATTTTACTTTCTAATTCAATTAAATCAAATACATCCTGAATATCAATTGAATAAGATCCTATTTTCATATGTGCTGTTTCAGAAAGCAATCTATTTCTAAATTTTGTAGCAATATGAATACCATCTTGCATAAAAAAAAGAATTTGTTGTTCTTCCATGAAAAACCAAGACCATTGTTTTGGTATTTTTATATGAAATATATCTTTATATTTAAGTATATTAAAATGTGGTAATGTTGCAAAAAAACGAGAACATAACCTCATTGCCCTGAGAAAACGTGAATCAGCATCAGTACTAAAACCGATAACATGTATATCTTGGATTAAACATCGGTGGTAAATAAATAACCACCTTTTTAAGATTTCAATTGCTTTTGCTTTATTATTAGATCCATAAGCTGCCAAAATAAATGGTGGATCAGATAATACTAAAGATTTTAACATATAAAGATTAATAAACTTCGCTTTATCTATTTCTTTAAACCATAATTCTAATTGCTCGAAATTTTCTGTCTGAAAAAAATTCGACTGTGGTACTCCATCAACTAAAGGTGAAGAAAAACCAATAAATGAATTCGATGTTGCATCGTAATCTATACGACATATTGAACTAGTAGCATCTTCGGCTATAAATACATAATTACATTTATTAAAGTTTAAATGTTCTTTTATTAATTGGAATCGAAATTTGCTTTCAGTCATTCTCATGTCTTGATTTCTTATCAATGATTCTACATTTGAAATGTGAGGTAATGATCCGGATAGATTTAAACGAAGAAATTCATAACAATTTCTACCTCCAAGAATATATATTAATAATGCAAATTGTTGAATATGTATGTCATAACTATATTTATTTTTTGTTGTTTTTAAATTTTGAAAAATATTTATAATCCATGGAATTAGAATAGAAACATTATGTCCATCGGATAAATTAGATGTCTGATGTTTTAACAACTCGATTAACTTTCTATCTGTATCATTTTCTATAAAATTATTTGATAATTCACGATTCTTCACAGACAAAGTTTTTTTTGCTTGTACTAAAGATAATAAATGTTCTAATAATTTTCGATGACCGAGTCGAAGATGAAAATTTCCATCACTTGTCGTGAAACCAAGTGATTTTTTTAAACCTTTTAACTCATCGATTTCGAAAGTGAGTACTTGTGTCAATTGATCTATTGTTACAGATGATAACGATGACATTTCTCGAATTGCCTGAACTTGAAAAAGTTCACATAAATCTTTATTTAATGCAATTTCAATAAAATTATAAAAATTATTAAAACTTAAATTCATCATCTCATCTGTTAATTCGTTAAGTTGTAAAATATTCATAATTACTGTCGAAGAAATATAAATATTATTCCCTGTAGTAAAATATTATTATGAGAAAAAGTAACTATATGTAAATAACAAATCTTTCTAAAAGCATATAAGGAATCTGTTCAATATAAAATCAATAATTCTTTATTCTAAATCAATAAGCTACAAATATAAATAACTTCCTAGTAAATACAAAAAACGATACATATTCTTTTTATTAAACCATTAAATTCATCTAATTTAAGAGAGGTTAAAGAATTCATGTACAATAAATAAAAAAAATTCTATGATGTTTTCATATGTCGAAGTAAAAAAAATAATATAGATTTCGATAGGAATTATGGGAACCGTCATTCATTTTTTAATCTTGATCAATATGTTTATTATTTGATGATGACGATGAAGATGATGATTTACTCTTTTTTAAGATACTTTCTTTTGTGTTCGAAGCTGTTTCTCTTGATGGTGACCGAGTTCGTTTTGAAGAAATATTTGTTCGATTTGCAGAATTTTCATTACTTATTGAATTATTATCTTTTTTACGTGTCTAGATGTATAAAAATTCACAGAAATTTTATCTTTAACACAAGACGTACTCACAGTTTTTGACATTGTAAAGCATTGTTTTTCCTTCAAGTGTCGATAATATGCTGATAATTTTAAAAAAACCTGTTGTCATAAATGGCAACTTGAATCGAATACGACATTTACAAGATAAAATACACGCATATGTGTCATTTATAGATTTATTGATTTCCAAAAGATAATGTGTGCCTTCTGATAAGAATAAATTATTATTATCGTTATATGTACGCCACCATTTATTTATTCGTTGTTCAATATCTGTTATATGATCAATGTCATTTAAACGATTTTGTATTAATTGTAATACTAATGGTGTTGATGGTATATCACTATCTGGCGAAGCAGCTATTGTTGGTGGTGCAATCATTCCATTTTGTGATTGAAATTGATCAACAGATTTTAATGTATCAATATTGGATGATGTACGTTTAGTTGAAGTTTGTTTTTTTTTCTTCTTCTGTTCTTCTTGCTTCACCTTCAATAACTCAATCAGACTATTAATAGCAAGTTTAACACCCAATTTAATTTCATATTTGTCATTACCAATTTTGAAACAACATAATTGTCGCAGTTTGTTAATTTCTTCGGATTCTTGTTGGAAAATTGATAAGATATCGTCGCATGACGTTTCAACAAGATGTAATCCATTTCTAATGGCTTGAAAACTAAGTAAACCAGCAAGATCATCGCCATATGATTGTTTAATATAATCATAAAATCGTTCATTATTGTAATTGAAAATATCATCTGGTAAATCATTTTGATTTATATTTCTCGATGATGTTGATGACGACATGAGCTAAAATAATTATCTTAAATAACTTTATCATAAAAAAAAATATCAAGGGACCAACAAGAATACTGCTATATTACTGACAACATGTCATCTTTAAACAATATGAAAAAAAAGCATTTCATCCCCTGGAACAAATAAGAATTCTTAAAGTAACTGAAAGATATTTAACGGAACTTCCTCTCTTTTTTATATCAGAAAAACAGCACAAAAATGAGTTTCTTCTGAGTAAGAAAATTGAATTAGAATTAGACAGTTTTGTAAAATAGGTAAATTTCTGATTGGATATTTAAAAAGTTCACTAGTATTGAAGTACAATAATGAATCTGATAGAGAGCGCTCTTAATCAATCACAATGTAGTAGTTTAGTTTATGTAGTATCCTAAAAAAATCAATTAGCATCTCAGCACTTCAGCACCTTTCCAGCACCTGAGCACCTACTCAGCACCTTTCCAGCA